AGGGAGGCGCAGAGTGTTTTCAAAGTACACTCATGTGTCAGCTTGATTTTCCAGAAAATCGCCTTGAGATGCCTTGAGGCTGTTTGGTGAATCTCCGCTGCATGAGCAGCTTGGTTCCCCACTCACACTGTCCTTCAAACGCTTTGTATAGTACTGGAAACGTACTAGTTGAAATTCTGGTCGCAAATAGCTGACCCGTAAAGCTATAGGATGGTTTCTGTTTCTGTGTCATGTTGCAAACCCATCTCTATGTGAACTGTTTTCGATGCAATGCTTTTGCAATCCTTCCATTTTATCCGCCTGCCGGACGATGCGATGGTGGCTACCAAAGCTCGTCTTCAGGTGAGAAGCAAAGACCTCGGTTTCTCCGCCAACAAAGCTGCCCCAAAAAGACAAAGATTGGTCATCTTAGGGGTTTGTTCTGCTCAAACTATATACAGCACCTAATTTGCTAAACAACTGCATTTACACGATGAGGATCGCTGGTTCATGACATGTAAATGGTGTAGATGGACGGTCCTGGTGTAGTGGAACAACAATCCATTCATGGTCGCAGCAAACTGATTACAAGGCTCATCAGGCTCATCAAGCCGAACTTCTTCAGGCTGGAGGTCTTGGACTCACAATCAGCAACAAACAGCAACATGCGGAGATTCACTCCTGCAACAGACTCATGCAGCGGGTCTAGCAGCCCATCAGGTCTAGCAGCTTGAAGCTGGGGTTGCGGACGCGGACGAGGAACACACACCAGAGTATATGCTTTAGAATAGCTTCTTGCGGTACCAGTACTTCAAGTGACCTGAACATCTCCATATGAGGGGAATCTGATCAGCACTGATCAGCAGTCAACCTTCACTGAAAAAAAACGACATAGTTTGAGAAGTTGAGGTGATCAACTCCACTTTGACCATTTGACCCGGACGGTCACCGGAGCTTCATCGACCCAAGGCGCCCGGACCCGGCGCCGCGCCAGCGCCCAAGCGCTGCCGGAGGGACGCGATCGCCTCGGACGCCGGAGGCGAAGACGTCCGGACGCGATGTGAAGACATTTGGCAATGCTCCTTGGGAGTCCAGGGGAGAAGGTAGTCTCCTCCTCACGAGTCAGCATGCGAAAAACGGAATCCTGCTAGTCAGACCTGGCCATTGTTCTTCTAACCTGTTTAGCACACGTTCAGATTGAAGTGATTCATTTCTGCGCTTTCTTCTCTGGGGGCATGTCATTTTGATGCGGTCACCGCCCTCCTCCTAAATTTCATTTTGGAGCCCCGCCTGTCTGTCATGAAGAATCTAAAACATCGGTATGTGCCAGTCGTTGATCGGAATGATTGGACCTGCCGGTTCCACGGCGGTGCCATGGCATAGCTCCACCGCGGTGATTGCGAAAGAAAGCGTCCGCAGTGCGGAACGGGCGGCGCATGCGGCACAAGCGAATTCCGACGGAGTTTGATCAGGAAGGTCTCCAGTCAGTTGAGCATACTCTACCCCATTCAAACGCATGCCGCTGCGGGCCACACACGGTGGCATTCTTCAAGAAGTAGCTATGGGCCATCATGAATCTGTCCTGCCTTGGGGCCTTAACTGCCATTCGTTGCGCTTTGAGAATACATAGTTACTTTGTCTTTGGCTGACCGAGTGATAGCAGATTATAGAAATGTCTGATGCGCTTGTGCACAAGAGTAAGTGGAATTGGGATGAATTGAATTGGGTGTCCTTTTGCACTACTTGGGCACTAGGCTGCATGCAAAGTCAAGGACTCAGCTGCTTCGCAGGAAAGCTTGCATCGCTTGTTCCAAGCAAGTGCACCAGCCAGATCATAGAGCACTGCACTTCGGCAGCATTTGCAGGAGCGTTTCTGCGCACAAGGGTGTAAAAGGCACCACAAGCTCTGAGTTCAGAGTCTGAATCTACTGAGGAGTGGGCACGAACCCTGAAGACCAAGGTCCCATTGGGCAACGCACCAATGTCACACAGCCAAGGACCCAAACGCTTGCAACCAGTGGCCTACTCGACATGCCGAGACCTCCCAAGGCATGTGCGACTATTGCGTGAGGTGTTTTGGCATGTCTACAACGAAACAATGTGAGGTCAGCTACAAGTAGCAAGATGTGCAAGCAAAATCAAGCAAACCCAAATCAACATGTGTCGTGTTGACCTCAACCAACCTGGACTGAGCTTCCTGCAGCCCCTTCTCAGGGTCCAGGTTGTCAGGCTGCCTGTCGAAGGAGCGATTCTACGGATGGCCGGAGCTGGCCATCAAACAAAGGTAGAAAGACCATGAAAGACCCGGTGTTCGAAGCAGGAGCTGGGTGAAAGGGATAGGCAACCCAGCTAGTGTTCAAAATAGAGGCCACAGTGCGTAGAGGTAGAGGACTGCGCATGGTTGCTTGCAAAGACATGCTATAGATTGCTACAGGCTATAGTCTTCTGTGATTTTCTGACTCACTTTTCTGAGATCGCTTGTTAAAGACACCGTGAGTCTTCTAATTACTCATATTATAAAGTTTACCTTTTCGGTATGTCTTCAGTACATTTAAACAAGTGTAAATCTGCACACCTTTTTTTTCAGGAATCCTTTGGCAGCCTTTTTCCCTGTCAGATCAGCAGCTTCTTCCGCTTCCCACCCCGACAGTCCCGACCTCAACGAGCTCACGAGGTCTGGCGGCCACACTTCGTGCTCCAGCGGCGTGAACTGGCGCCCGGAGCAGGCGCGCGCGCGCGCGCCAGTGGAACGCGCGGTGTGTGGGAACCCAGATCCACCGGATTCTGGATCGATACATTTGTTGATCATTATGCGGAATACGGTGTCAAAATCACCAACACCTGCATCTGCTCTCTCCCCTTGATGAGTTCTGATGTCCTTTGTTCTTTCATGTTTGTTTGAGGAGGGAGTGCAGTACCAGCGTCAGCAGCGAAAGAACGAAAGGTCAATTTGGGTTTCATTGGCAATTTGTCTTTTACCTAGTGCTTCCCCAAGAAACGATATTACCAGTGGATCTCTGTCCTGGGCTGACCAACTGCACAGCAGCTTGCGCAGTCAATGTTGCTTGATTGCTTCCTGGTCCATGCCAAACGAGATAAGCATAGCAAAAAAGAGAGGGAAAGAATGTCGACCTCATGGACTTTGGTCGGCTTTGCCAACTGCTTCCTCAACGTTCTTGCTGTCTACAGTGTTGGTCCCTCTGCGGCTTCACACATTCTGGTCAACCCGTGCCTTACGAAGTTCATTTCTTTACATCTCCCTACAGTCAGCAGGGGAAGACACCACGATCTCCTCGAGACCTCGATGATCAAACAGGTCGACTGCACAACGACTCCGCCCGCCTCATAGTCGTAGGCCGATTGCCCGTAGCAGCCACAACGGATGAAACTGTGAAGCCTCATGGCGGCTCGATCTGGCCCGTGCCACGCAGAAACACGGTCATCAACCTCGTGCCCCCAAAAGGCATGTCTCAACTCTCAATTAGATACTCAACTGATCTCAACTATCATTTTTTGATAATTTTTGCACCAAAGGAGTGCCCTTCATGTGAATCTGTGACCAATCCCTCATGATCAAGCCTGTTCCCATCCTGGCTGTTCGTGCCATCTTCAAAGAACTGATAGTCCATACTCGACATGCAGGTACTGGTCACATGAAATACATCACAGGGTTCCACAGGTTTCAGTCATGTTTCCTTTACCCATGAGGGGCCAGTAGCTGCTGGGAGTCTACAAATGTTTGACCCAGCATGTAGCAATGGCTTGCAAGATGTCCAGCACACAGGATCCTGGCAAAGCCCATCAGATGCTACATCCTTCGTCGACGTCGCTCTCCGTGCTCTGAGCATGCAGCGAATCTTGATCGCTTGAGACTTGACCCATGGCCTATGAGCAAATCAGGCTGGGACAAAGCGCACAGGACTTCCAAGACATCAAACATGCAACATCTGCAAAACACATGTGATATTACAAGTTTGCTTGATTTTGATTGGGATCCGGGATCTCAATTAACTAATTATGGCCAATGCATACCAATGCAAACAAAATCCAATCATTCCCTCATACGCTCTCTTCGCCGCTCTTCCCGAACCCACCGTGCCTCATCGTGGCCCCTTGACCCAGCGGCCTTTTCCACCGACTGGTAGACCCACACCAACCCTTGAGCCGATCGACGAGGGGAAGAAGCGACGAACCGTGTTTTTTTCAGCGCTCGAAGTAGCGTAAACTCATAGGGAGCGCTGAAACATGCTTTCATCCAATGAGTAGTAACAAGAAGCTACTAGGAACAAGTGCATCGCTTCTAGTAACAAGTGCCTTACTACTAGTAACAATGGCGCGGGGCCATGGTCTTGGCCGGAAGAGAACACCTGAAGACTGGAGCGTGAGTGGATGGGCTTTGAGGCTAAAAAGGCATCTGAGTGTTTTTTACTTCTTTTTTCGGGGTCTTTTGATTCCGTGTGTCTCCAACACCAAAACTGAAAAGAGATCCTGATAGAGTTGCAGAACGAGCCACAGATTCCAAGTATGTGTATACTGATAGGATCTGATAAGAACCATTGCGAGGTTTCAACAGGTCTGTCGATGTCTGCGCTCTTTCTCTCTACAAAGCTGCCCAGTGTTTGGGCGTCTTTGGCTGTCTTCGGCGAAACCTACCAGGCATGGCAGGGCTACAAGGAGGTCCTTCAAGGCAATCCTGGCTTCCGAGCAGTGAGCAGCTGCAACATTTAGCAACATCACCTGGAAAGCTAAGCATGTGAAACATGATGTATCAGGGTCAGTCTCTCCAAAACATGTTGAACATGATCTTAGTTTCCCAGTTTCAGGAAAAAGGCTGGGTGGTGTATGGTGGTATATTCTAGTATACAGTATACTGTTCACGAGCATACTCCACACCTTAAACAGCAAAAGATCGAATGAGTCAGTCTATTCTTCGATCGACCACACCGCCACACAGCCCACCACAGCGCTCCGTCGATGCGGCGCTTCGTGGATGCAGCGCTCCTTCGGTTGTTCGGTGCGTCTCAGTGCAGCCTCGGTCGATCGCGACATGTTCGGAGGCTCGGTTTGCTGGGGCGGGCTGGCTCGCAGCCTCATCTCGAGATGAGTTGGTTGGTCCATTTAGAGTAATCATGCTCTAGAGGGGATTCCCTTTTCTATCTATTTTGGGGTCGCTTGCAATCACTTTTCTATCACTGTCATTGCATGCCTGGGTGCTTTGCCGTTCGCCCTGGACCCCCGGGCCGAGCATTCATGTGCTTGAGGGCCCCTCGTCGCTCGCTGTGACTGTTCTTCGATGATGCCATGACGGTGCTCTTCTCCTAGTGTTCGGCGATCTGGACGGCATGTCCTCTGCCTCGGTAGAAACCTTTTGGAGACCTTGAATGAAGCTGTTATGTCATCGAGCTGAACTTGCAAAACAGTTCAATGTGGGGTAGAAACTCTTTCCTCAGAATTCGAGAAGGATGGAACGATCCGGTTGGGTTCCCCAAACAGCAAACAACGAGGGAAACAAACAGCAAACAAAACACACACTTATGGATATGCGTACTGACTTGACAGCGGTGCCACACGCCAACCTAGGTTACCATTTCCTAAGAGTACAGG